CCATTTTGAACATTGCCGCGGCTAACAGCCACTGCTGGTCGCCTCTGCGACATTTTCAGGCTAATTAGATAACCATAACTACGCTCAAACAATTGAGGTCGCTGTCGGTGGCCACGGCCGCGGTTGGCCGACGGTCATAGTAGCAGCTTAGTCAAGCTTGGTCTCATCCATACATGTATGTATGTATGTATGTATGTATGTATGCATGTATGTATGCATGTATGCATGTATGCATGTATGCATGTATGCATGTATGTATGTATGTATGTATGTATGTATGTATGTATGTATGTATGTTGTTACAGGGTGGTATAGCTTCACCAGCGGCCCCCTTTCCCGAGGCAGTTCCCTGCTCTCCCCTGCTAGAGAGGCACCCTAATCCGTTCACCCCATCCGACTTCAGAATGTATTCGTTGGGTTCTGCAACTCACCACCAGCATCCAACCAAATCTAGCGGATCAACGGCGCCTCAACTTAGTTCCTGGTCAGCTCGCAAGTTGATATTATCACGTCCTACACCGTCCATAAGATGGGGGGCCACCTCCCATTTCAACACCTCTCACACACCCGAGAGGTTGGCAGGCGGATTTGAACCCGGACACTCCGGGAGCAGAAGTCAGGCCTTAACCTCTGCCAGCCGCCTGCCATAGTATGTATATGTATGTATGTATGTATGTATGTATGTATGTATGTATGTATGTATGTATGTATGTATGTATGTATGTATGTATGTATGTATGTATGTATGTATGTATGTATGATGTGTGGGACAGGGGGGCCATATCTTCACACGTGGCCGCTACCCGGCAGACCCTGCCTTCCCCGGTATTTCGGGGCACCCTCATCTAGTCACCCTAGTCAACTTCTCAGTGGATCACTTAGGTTCCGCACCCACCACCAGCATCCAACGGAATCTGCCTGGTCGACAGCGGCCCAACTCCATTCCTGGTCGGCTCGCAACTCAACTTTATCCCAGGTCACCACCGTCCATCGACTAGGGGCACTTTACCTTCCACCATAGGACGGATTTTTGACTTTGACAGGTCTCGATCCCAGGATGTCCAGGGGGCAATTGTCCGTGCCAATATATATGTATATATATACATATCTATACATATTAGGCACTACTGGTAAGGCATATATATGTATGTATATGTATGTGTGCATGCAGGTATGTATGCATGTATGATGTGTGAAACAGGGGGGTGTATCTTCGCCCGTGGCCGCTACCCTACGAAACCCTGCATTCCCCGGTATCTCGGGGTATCTCATCTAGTCACCCTAGTTAACTTCCCAGTGGATCGCTCAGGTTCCGCACCCACCACCAGCATCCAACGGAATCTGCCGGGTCGACAGCGGCCCAACTCCATTCCTGGTCGGCTCGCAGGTTAACTTTATCCCAGGTCACCACCGTCCATCAACTAGGGGCACAATGCCTTCCACCATCGGAAGGACTTTTGACCCTAATGGGTATCGATCCCGGGATCTCCCGGGGGCAATGGTCGCGCCTTACCAGTAGTGCCAAATCCTTGTATATATGTCACAATTACGCATAGTATTACCCACCTACTTTTTAACATCATGCTCAATAAGTGCAGGAGGCGGCCTACATACTACAACAAGAACAAGCACCGCCTCAGGAGAGGCAGCAGCAACAACAGCCGTCGGCGCAGTCGCAGCCGCCGCCGCCGCGGCCCGGGCCCGCCGCCGGCCCCAGCCCGCCGCTGCGCTGGTGGCAGCGTCACCTGAATGAACGCATGGCGTATGGCACTGGCGGCGACAGCAGCATGTTCGGCAGTGATAGCGGCAGCAGCGGTAGCGGCTCCCAGGGCTTCCCTGACGAGATGGACGTTGCTTCCAGCGGCTCCAGCGGCGACACGGGGCAAGACTCTCATGCGGACATCCGTGGTGTGGTGGCGCTGGCGGCGGTGATGGAGTGGTTCGTCCTGAGGCTGCTGGGGACAGCGAGGGTGAGTGTGGCGACGTAGGGGAGGGCCTCGGCCCCACAGGAAGACAGGAGCTCTAAGGGCCCTATATTTGGGGCTGCGGTGGTGCATGGGGTTTCTGGCGGGGGGGGGATATGAGGAGGAGAGGGTGGTGAAGCCCCTGTAAGGAGGGCTCGGGGCTCCGGGACTGGTTAGGGCGCCATGCCGCCGGTGAGGTGTGTGATATGGGTCGGGGGTCGACTGGAGGGGGGAAGATCTGTGATGTGCTGTCCGGTCGGGGGACTGGGTTGCTGCAAGGGCGGGGTACACACACATACATACACACACAGGCGGTTTGTACAGCAATGCTCTCCCGCACGACACGACCGCAGCCGCCACAACCGCCGCAACCAACCCCGCCCCAGTGTGCTGAGACTGACGTCCTGCCGGCCCTCGCGTCCCTCGTCGGCCGGCTGTACCCCACCGCGGGGTGACCAGTACGACAATCACGCAGTACCATCACCACCGCCACAGCCCGGCGTTCCTCCTCCTCACCCAACATCTAATCCCTTTGGTAAGTGTACTGCAATTAACTGCCTCCAACCAACAGTCGTACGTCGACTTGGGCTTGATGCGGCTGAGCGAGGGCAACCTGCTACAGCCCTGGCACCTCCAGTTGGCTTTGGACACGTCAGCACTGGGGCAGGTGCTGATGCTGCCGCGGGAGCGGCAGGCGGCGGTGCCGGCTGTAGCACTGCGGCTAGCCTCCAGGCCTGAACCGACTGAGGACGGCGGCCCTGGATCTGGTTTCGGATCCTGGGGCCCAATGACCGTTGGTTCCCAGTTGGTTGGTGCGTTGCCACTACAGCCCATGGCGCGTATGTTGGCATCGCTTGCGCTACAGCCGGTTTCGGCGCTGCTAGTGCTGGCGACGGCGGCGGCGCCGGCCGTGCCAGCGGCGGAAGTTCCGGTCGCGGCCTGGAGCGGCGCGGTCAGCGGTGCGCCAGCGGGCGGGGCACCGCCGCTGAAGCCGGTTTTAAGTCCTCTGGACATGCGTTGCTACTGCGGCGGCCCCGCTAGCGCAGCTGTAGCAGCGAGGCCTGAAGAGTCAGCAGCAGCTGTAGGAGCAGCGGTATCAACGGCCCCATCGCCAGCACAGCGGCCGCCGGCGACGGTGGCGGCTCCATCGCCGCTGGACTCACGAGGACCCCCCTGCTCCTTTTGGTCAGGACACCAATGTTCAGGTGCAGGAGGGGAAATACATGTATATGTATTATATGTACATACATACCATACATACATACTTACTCACTTCGTCCGAGCACTTGCACCGGCTGTGTGGCCGCACTTATTCCTGAAAAACGTTCCTACAGCCATGCCGATGCGCAAGCTACAGCTATTGTAATAGTCCCCATTGTTGCATGTTGTATGTTGTTACAGGGTGGTTAACTTTGCCAGCGGCCCCCTTTCCCGGGGCAGTTCCCTGCTCTCCCCTGCTAGAGGGGCACCCTAATCCGTTCACCCCATCCGACTTCAGAATGTATTCGTTGGGTTCGGCAACTCACCACCAGCATCCAACCAAATCTAGCGGATTAACGGCGCATCAACTTAGTTCCTGGTTAGCACGCAAGTTGATTTTATCACGTCCTACATCGTCCATATGATGGGGGGCCACCTCCCATTTCAACACTCCTCAAATACCCGACGAGCCGGCAGGCGGATTTGAACCCGGGTCGGCCGGGAGCAGAAGTCAGGCCTTAACCTCTGCCAGCCGCCTGCCATTGTTGTCGCCACCGATACCGATATCGGCCCGTAGTTGTTAACCCTTTGCGCTTTTCTGTATCATCATATAATTGCCCATCCCAACCTCCCACTCACCCCATCAGCACTCTCGAACTTTGGGCGCCTTTCGGCGCTTCATCTCTCTGATTTCCTTGCGTATGACTGCCCCACCAGCCCCCCTCCCTCCCACCTTGTTCGTGGTTCGTCTTACCCCCCCCCCACCTCTCCACATGGCGCAACCCCCCCCCGCGAGCCCCTACGTAGGGTGCGCTGTGGCAACCTCCCGGGTGCGGGGACTGGCCTTTGAGGAGCGCATGAAGCTGGTGGGTGCCGTATTGAGGAGCGCCTACGAGGCGGCGTGTGGGTCGTGGCGTGAGGAGGCCAAGTGCGCGACTGGGCCCAAACCAGAGGCCGCAGTGGTAGAGGTACGGGAAGGGGAAGGTACGAGGCCAGCAAGGGCCCTTTCGCCACACTTGGAGCCTCCCGCCACCACCAGCACCAGCGCCAGCAGCACCACCACCACGACCACCACGACCATCACCACTACAACTATTGCTGAGGAAAGGGAGGCACAACGGCAGACGCCGCCGCCGCAGCAGCAGCAGCCGGAGCAGCAGCAGCCGGGCGGGGGCCCGGAAGCGACCCCCACCCCGCTGCAGCTCCCGGGCGACCTGGTGGCCGTCGTGACGGGGGGGCGCTTGAGAGGGAAGCTGCTACAGCGGCTACTGCCGCCAGCGCTGCGGCCGTTGCTACAGCCCACGGCGCTCTCGTACGCGGCTCGGATGGCCAACCTGGGCCTTACGTCTGGTCTGTTGCGGATCCATCACTTGGATGTGCCGTGCTGGTGGCGGAAGCCGGGAAGTACGGCATTGGCGGCGGCGATGGCGTTCCCCGCTGCTGGTGCGGCAGCGGCGCCTTCCCCAGCTCTGGCGCCAGCGGTACGGCCTGACCCTGGCTGGTTGCAGCAGTTGCAATCTGATCTTGGGCTGTTGCGCGACGTGGAGGCGGCGGCGGGGCTATGCAGGGACCTCGGGGCCGTACTGTACGGCGTTCCGTCCGCAAGGGAGAACAAAGCGACTGTTGGCGGAGGGGCGGAAACGTCGACACCGTTGCCCCCTCCTCCTGCCCCTCCTTCCCCTCCTCCGCCTGTAACACCCGCTTCCGGCACCGATGGCATCGTCGGCAGCAGTATCAAAGGCAACACCGGTAGTAGCTCCGTCGACAGCGGCGGAGTGCCAGACATGGACCCCCGGACTGCAGACCCCAGCCATCACACCTCGGTGGCCGTGTCGGCACTCCCCTCGTCCTCGGCAACCCCGGCCGCCGCATCCGAGCCCCCGGGGGAGCTGCCGTTGTGCATACCCCGTGACGTGTTCATGGACGTATTCCAGGAGTGCTGGAATACAGTACGGCAGGAGCGCGGCGGCGGAGCTGCGGCAGTGCCGTACTTCGCCGCCGCTGGGCATGCCGTGGCGCCGCTGCCGGGTAGTGGGGTCGCGGGGCAGCAGCAGGAGCGGGCGCTTGGGGTTGGGGGTACTTCCGGTCCGGCGGCGGCGAGGCGGCGGCGACGCTGTCCTTCAATCTCTGCAGCCATGGGTATGGCATCCGACAGCCCCATGCGCAGACGCTTCAGGCCGCGGAATTGGCCCAGATCCACATCTGGCACCGCAGCCGCCCCGACGTGGAGAGAAGCCCTAGGTATTACGGCGGCCGGTGCAGCGGCACCGGCGGCTGGCGCCGGCGGCACAGCGGAGGTGGTGGCGGCGACGGCGGGATCGTCATTCCCTGATACGGGTAGTGCATCGGTGGACGTCGCTATGGAGGAGCGGGGGCGGCAGCGGCAGCAGGGCGGCGGCACCGCCGCGGCGGCTGAGACCGCCGTGGCTTCGGCGGCCTCGGGTCCGTTGGCGGAGGGTGGTGAGAGCGAGGATTGGATGGACTGGTCGGCGGATGCGTTGGAGGTGTTGCACATGGCAGCGGAGGCGGCGCTGGCGGAGGCTCTGCGGGAGTACGGCAGCGGAGGCGGAGGCGGCGGGGTTTGAGAAGGTGTCAGCATGCGGTGGCCAGGATACTTGGCGGCGCTAGAGGCGGAGGCGGCGGTGGTGGAGATCTTCCGATGCTAAGGGGGTCCTCCTCTGGTAATTTGTACTGCGGCATTTACGGCAGTTCTTCGTTGCGCGGGGGACTGTTCTCCGCGGTGTCCTGATTAAAATACGGCATTTTGGTTCATGTGTTGGCTGCGTTGTAATGTACATTGCAATTCCCGCATGCATACGGCGCAACTGCGATGGGCAGTCTGTGATGATCGGTGATGCCGTGGTGGTGGTGGGGGGGGTGTGGTGGTGGTGGGGGTGGTGGTGGTGGGGGTGGTCGGCGACCAGCCATAGTGTCTCGATTGGTGGAATATTCGGCGGTTGTTTGTTGACCGCCATATGGCAGCACGGCAATTGACTTGGCGGACCTGGCATGCTGGCACTTGGTAGTGATGTCAAGAAACTGCTCTTAAAACCTAGGAGCTGTGCGTTTACATATCTACCGCGTAGCTTCGATCAGTAGCAGCAGTTGTAAGAGCGGCAATAGCACACTTGAATTTCCGCCTTTTTTCTTAAACCCCACGCTACTCCACACCATCCCTTCCCACACCCTAAGACAGCTCAACGCACACAAACAGATCACTCATACATATCGCCTCCTTCCCACGCATATCGCCCTTAGGGGTGGAGCCTCAACTAACACAGGCGCGGGCGGAGGAAACATAACAAACGTATAAACAGGGCGCATTCCCTTTGCCTGTGAAGAACTCCCAGATTGCAGAGCATTACTAAGTGTTGATGGCATCACGACTTATATTGTCCGCACCGGCCAGGAACATGTGTTCTCCGCATAATGGATTTCCGTTACGGGACGTACAGATAACGCAGGCTGCCGTACGGACGAGCCACTACGGACAAGGCATCCTTGGTGGGTGAACAAGGAGGTGCGGATTAATCTGCAAGCAAACACAGACTGGACACCGGTCGGCACTTGCTGCACCGCAGACGCTGCCAAGATCTGCACCGCGCCATTGCTGGGAGCAGGTATATAGCCCTGACAATAGTTGTTTGGCTGCGCTAGTAGCGGCTATGAGGAACGGTTAACGGGTGCAGCGCCTGGTGTAGTACGGCAATATACAATTATTGTGCATCGCGCTGGCAATAAGGGGTAGTTACCATGGATCATCTTTTCTAGCTATTATAATTTGTCTGCCGCCTCACGCGCTCCTAAGGAAAACGGACGGAACAAGTTTGCAGAAGTGCTAAGCCATTTTACACCAAGAGTGCACCTGAGATCATTCTAACTTTGTTTACTTACGTGGAGGCAAAACTGGAGCTGTCGGCTCAGAGCTAAAGAAGCCTGGTTGGATGGCGCCGAAAGAGTGAGCAGGCTTACACTGGAGCTGTCTGCACGGCTCAAGGCCGTCGAAGTGCGAGAGTTCTCGGCCAAGAAGGGGCAATAGCCCAGCTCCAATGTTCAACGCGTACAACGGTCAGCCGGGCAACTTTGCTGCCTGGCAGACGGGCTATGGTAACCTGCAAGGTAACTATAGTGCGCCAACTGTTCCAAACAGGTATGTAGGAATGACCACTCGTGGCTCGCGCGGGCATATTACTTGTTGACGGCAACTTTGCCCAGATGCGGTTGCGTGGGCGCGCTTAACATATTGTTCTAGGAACCGCTTGCATATGATGAATGAGGCAGAGTGGCTGACTGGGTATGAACAGTTAGACTACCCGTCCCCCGGGACGCTGACTCGCATCTTCCCTGTTCGCCGTGCCCTGTGCTTGCACAAACTGCAGCTATCCTCAGCCAAATGGCTTCCAAGGACCGGATCCTTATGGGCATTATGGCGTGTACCACCCACAAGCTGGCTGGCAGGCTCCCCATCCCAGCGAGGCGTACCATCATCAGCAACAGCAAGCTCTGGCGCAGCAGCATTACAACTATCAATACTATTCTGCGCCCAACCCTAGCCCACCGGAGTCGTTACCTCCCCTCCCAGATGGTGCCCCTCCTCCTTTACCACCAACGCCAGCGGAAGAGCAACCGCCACCATTGCCACCTCCCGAAGCGCCTACTGGACATGCTTCTCCCCCGCTGCCGGCGGACCAGGGCCCCATACCGCCACCGTATCCTTCCCAGAGCCAAACGGGCTCTGGGCAGGCTCACCAAAATGTAGCTGGGCCTGAGGGCTTGGGGCAATTCCCGCTACCGCAGCCGCCCGGACTTGCCGGATCCCTTGGTCAAGTCCCCGGCCCACCTAGCACAGGGTCATGGAACGTTCACCAACAGCACACCCAGCAAATGCCATATCACCACCTGGGTCACCTACCAGCGCCTCATCCATACCCGCCTTTTCCACACCCGCCCCCGGGTCCCCAGCAGCAGCAACAACCCGCGCCACTGCAGCAGCACGCCGTCTATGCACAGCCTCCACCTCCCCCCCATCATCATAAGCACCACCACCATCCACCGGTTATGCCTCCGGGTCAGGCGGCACCTGCAAGTGTTCCACCATTTGCAGCCGGGGTGGGCCCCCTCGGCGCTGCTGGGGGCCCCTCGGCGGCCGCAGCCCACACAGCACAGCTGCAGCCTTCTGCAACTGTGGCGGCAGCAGCGGCCCCACAAGCGCCGGCCCCGCCGACGCCAGTGGTCGTGGACATCACCCGATTGATCCGGCCGCCGCACCGGGCCACCCGGCCGCGTAAGTTGCTGCTGGTGCTGCGGGGGCTGCCTGGCAGTGGCAAGAGCACACTGGCTCGGAAGATTCGGGAAGCGGAGCTGGAGGCGGGTGCGGAAGTGCCGCGGTTGCACAGCATGGACGATTACTACATGCAGGTAGGGACGGGCGGACAAATTTAATTTTACTTAATTAAATTAGTTGAGTTTTTAAAGGAGTCTTTTTAATGTATTTACTATGCGATGAAGTGTAATCAGGTAAGAGGCACCAAGGTAACATGCAGCAAACCGGCAGGGCGCCTGAGTCGGTACCTCTGCTGGTTACCTACCGAGGTCACCCCATCCTGCAGTCTGCCGGGCTTTGCCGCTGGTTACAGAGTAAATCTAACGCTTTCGTGGGCGTGCTTTCGTGGCCCGTTGGCGCGGCATTATGGCTGCCTCAACGTGAGAGTCCTGCCGACTCCTCAGCGCCGGCGGGTTTGTTTTTTTGGCGGTCCGTAAACCTGGGTGTACTTCGAGATGTCCAGAGCTACCGTGGACTTGGTTTTATTCGAACTCTTTCCTGACCTTGTGGCGGTTATTTCCCCGTTGGGTTGACCTACAGGAGATGGAGGTTGAGGTGGTTGAGGAGGAGGGCGGACGTAAGAAGCGCCGAAAGGTGACGGAGCTCAAATATGTGTATGAGCCGGAGATGGCAGGTACATGAATGGAGGGCCAGGTTTGGGGAAATAGTGAATGACCTAATGATACCCTTGGCCGGGATTGTGGCTAAGCAGCGAAAGCTGGGCAATAGGAAGCCGGGCTTGAGTGAACTGCATCGCCTGGTCCCGGATTCCCGGTTTTGTGTTCTTTACCCAGTTGTTGAATGAGCGAACGGGCCATGCCGCCGATGCCGCGCACGCTTGACTCTTATCGCCATTCAAGGTCCATTTTACCTCCTTTTACAGTCCATCCTCAAAAATCCCCATGTCGCGTACTACCGCCATTCATACCACCCATATGCAATAACGCGCGCTCTCTCCGTTACCTCAGATTTCCTCGCCTCATGCATGCAACGGGCCCTCTGTCAGGCACATACTTCCGGGACCTGGTTCGCGCGGTGGGGCGCTCGTGTGAGGACAGGCGGCACAGCTTTGTGGTGGTGGACGCCCCCGTGCTGCGGGCGGAGCAGCTGCGGGAGCTCATGGCGGTGGGGCAGGTGGGAGATTACTGCGTCCTGATGAGTCGGGCCGTGGATTGGCCGTGGATTGGCACACGAAGTAGTCCACCACGAGTGTAAGCACAAGAGGTCGTGTTGGGCAGGGAAAGGGTAAACACAGTGCTGAAGACTGAGGCGACACACTGTAGCGAGGAGGGGGAAGGCGGAATTGCGCATGGCCAAACTGAGAAGAGGGAGGAGAGGGCGGGAAAAGGTCATTTAGCAAGCAAGCTGGGTTGGTTCCAATCCGCTTTATGGGGGGGAAAGGGGGAAAGGGGAACCTGGAACCCTACGCTGCATATACCCCGGCCATCACCTTTCGCCGGACCCGACCTAACCCCCAACCCCTGATTCCACCGGACCTCCGACCTCCGACCCGGCCGGCGCTGTAGCGTGCAAACTTCGAATGCTTCGCCCTGCTGCCGCTGGAGACCGACCCCGCCGTGTGCGCCAGTCCTGCTCGCAACGTGCACGGCCACTCCGCGGCATCGCTGAAGGAGATGGCGGACTCATTTGAGCCGGCGCCTCCGCTGTACGCGCAGGTAGGATAACGAGATGGGGAAGAGAGGGCGGAGACGGAGGGGGTTGGTTTGGGGGAGAGAAGAAGGCGTGGGGAGCGGGCGGCGCGTTGCATCAGGGGATGCGGTAACAGCCGCTCGCAGGCGTATCTCTCCTTGGAACAGTATATCAGAATGGCTCCGCTGCCCCGCTGAGTTGAATGCGTGAACTCAGAGCGAGCAGGAGCGAGGGAAGAGCACTAGGTGCGAGGCGCACCGTACCGTAACCAGGCTTTGCCCACTGCACCGTTACGCCTCCGGTTGCAAGTACACTTACGGACTGTTGTCATGTACTCCACCGGCGACCGACCCTTACCCATGCAGGTGAGCGCCGTGTCGATGTTTGGCGGGCCAGTGGTTGGGGAGGAGCGTGAAGCGGATTCCCGTGGGTCTGAGATCCAAGAGGTTGAGATGGACGCAGATGACAGCGACGAGGACGCTGACGGTGGGGCTCTCGGCGCCGGCAGCGACCGGGACGATGAGGATGGGGGCGGGGCGGGATCCCGGCGTCGTCGGCCCGCGAGCCGTTGGCATGACGGTGAAGGCGACGGAGCAGCCGACGGCGCGCGGCGTCAGAGACGGACGAAGCGCGACAAGGCCAAGTTGCGTGCCATGGCGGACATTGACGATAAGGGTATCCTGTTGGGCTTGAATGATGCTCTGGCGGCGGATGGCGGCGGTGACAAGGCAGCGGCAGGTCCATTCCCTACCTCTGGGCCGCTAAATGCCAAGCGCACATTAGGCCCTTTGAAACCCGCCCTGCGGCGACCTCTGGCAGTGGCGATAGCTGTGTCGGCCGCGGAGGGGAAGACTGGCAGTAGCAGCCAGCGGCGGGTATGGTGGCCTGACATTGGCCAGGGCAACTCAGCAACAGCCGCGGAGTCGATCACAGCTACGATAAAAGGGTCATCGGTAGGTGGTGGCTTGCCTGGTTTACAGCGGGGCTGCTTGCTCGGGTTGTTTGGTGGAGAGGAGGTGCAGCATCGGCGCCGCTTGAAAAAAGCTTCGGATCCTTGCAGAAGCGGTCGGAAGCATAATTTTAGAGTCCGTGTTCCAACCAGCATAGGCACAACGGAGGGGATGCGATTAAGAGGAGGGCGGCCCTCTCGTCCCCCAAACGTTCAAAGTTACCCAACGCAGGGCCTCCAGAGCTCGCTTTTTTATTTTTAGTCCTGTCCGCCGAAACTCGCATAAGCAGATGTTTTCGCCCGTAGTTAGGCCGCGCCCAGGAACGTTTTGCACAGCTGGAGGCCGGGTTCAGGAGCTAGAAACACGCTGCCTATTGATGCATACGCCTTACTAGGACTGCTGCCTTGCAGGGTTTCTGCCTCGCAAGCGGACCGTGCACATACCTTCCCCGCTGCCGAACTGGCACGTTTCCCCTGCGCATGTTCGGGGGGCTCCAGTTCCCTGCCCAGTCGTCTTGGTCGCGCTCCTAAGGACAATTGATGCTTGAATTGCCTGGCCGCTTCGCTGCTTGGATGTCGGAAGGTGACATTCTTACTTGCTCTGAGGTGAAAATGATGTCTCCGTCTGCATGCATACCCCCACCAACATGATACAGGAGTTGGTTCATGTGGTGTACTTGGAGGGACTGGGGCCACCGTTGGAACGAGAGGAGCTTCCCTACGGCTACCAGCGCCGCGGTATCTCGGCGGCCCGCGGAGAAGCAAGTCAAGGCGGTGGTGGTGGCGCTCTTGTTCCTGCTCCCCATCCGGGCCTGGGGCCTCACTCGCATGGCGGCAGCTTCCGCGACCAGGTGCGATCTTCTGTTCTTTGGCTTTGGTGCAGCGTTTCCTGTGGTGACTTGCTGGCTTATAATCCACATCGCTTTTCTTTCCTGGCGGATTGGCTTCTAGGTTCATATCCATCCTGTGCATAAGGCACGGTCTTCAGGTTTATGATGCTATGAATTTCTGCTGTCCCGGCCGTAGTGTTCCAGGCTAATGATCCTGGTCGTTAAGGAGTGACGGACCCCACCCCCTGGGGCCCGAAGCGTGGCTTTTTTTAATGGCAGAATAGTTTTTGATGAAAATTTTGGAAGTTGCTATTTTTATCTGGAGGCTAAATTTGGTGGCTTGAATGTTTAATAGAGGTTTCACCTGCGAGCTATTTATTGGGCGCGGAATACATATGTGAAAAGGCGTCTTGAACCGGAGTGCCAGTCCTGTTGTCGCGATTTGCTAATGAGATAAACCATTGCGAATAAATATCGACGACTGATCATATAGATGCGTTGCTTCAGTACCGCTGAAGTGGTAATAGGTTGTTGGATCACCTCTCATATTTTCCCAATTTTCCGACTGACGAAATCGCGCCAGCCAGTCAGTCATTTTGGGGCCATGTCCTGCCGGCGTAAGGGAAAATAGCAGCGGGGTGCCATTTCCCCTCCCCTATACGTAAGTTTATACAGCCACGCTGGCTCCCCTTTTTTGCTTGGGACGCAGGCGAAAGCCGAGCATGAATCTGAGCACGACCTCTTCCGCCGCCTGCTGCTGGGGAAGCAGGGTCCGGGTGCGACCGGCGGGAATGCTGCGGCGGGTGGTGCCTCACAGCCAGGGCTATTCGCGGCGCCGTTGGACGATGACGATGATGACGGGCCGAACCAATGAGGTGGTTGATTTGGCAGCTAACCCCCAAGGACATTCATTTGCTGGGCAGGACACAGCAAGGCGGCTAGGTGCGGGGCACAGCAGGTCATATTTCCTTTCCTTGTTACTGCCTGCAACACACACTCCTTCCTCGTTGCGAACCCTCGTCTGTCGGGAGCTGGCACTGCTACCTCTTTCGCATGTTCTTGGGCGCATGTCTGTGTCAAGTACCCAACTGTTCGCCGCGGAGGGATCTGGCTTGTTGCTTGGGAGATCGTCATGGCGATGTATTGTATGGCGTTTGGCCTGTGCTCTTCGCGGTCTGGGTTCCACCGCCACATGGCGGGATGTACACAGCACATTGTTGTATGGCAGGGGAATTAAGCAGGCAGGAGAGTGTCACAACAAAGCAGCCACGGAATGGGCTGGTGTGCTGGTCGGTGGTCGGTCGGGATGCGATAGGCTGCGCTGCTTCGGGCCCTGTTTTCTATATCGCCTGCTTTTGCCAGGCTGACGTGGCTAGTTGCGGCTATTTCCCAAGGGGGTTTCTTTGGGGGGGAATGCGTTAAGAGCGGCTGGCTGAAGCCGTGTGCATATGCCAGCGCAAGGCAGCGAGCCGTTCCAATGGAAAGATGCCACGAGATCCAATACGGTGGAATTCCCCCCAATCCTTAATCGTAGTGAGGTTTCTCGATTCTCATGGGGATGAAAGGCCGTTTGGGCAGAAGGTTGGCATGAGCGACATTCGGACCAACTTAGCTAATCAGTGGTTGCATCATGCGCTGCAGGACGTTCATCTGCTGTATGCGGGTATGTGCAAATTGTTGTGGGGCTAGGAAATTCGGGGAATATGTGAGAGGAAGAAATGGAGGTGGAGGATTCCGTGCGCGTTTGGTGGGTATGTTCTAAACCGCGGGGCTTGCTCGAAGCAGCAGCAGGATGATAATATACATCATCAAGCCTGGACGAGCGCTAGCGGGTGGGGCTCTTCCTTACTGCGCTTATTGTCTTCATACACATCGATTAGGCCGAATGCATGATACGGACAAAGGTTTATATTTCCCAAGCTGCTATATCACGGGAGGCGAGATGAGAGCGCAGTTATTAAGAATACATGGAGACCGGTGACAATTCGCTCCAGCGCGGAGAGCTGGATATCACTTGACGGTTGCAAACAACCTCCGCAGCCGTCAAGTAATCAAGCTCTCCGCTCTAATTCACTCGAACTCCTTGAAGAAATGCAGTGGGTTTGTGAACTTCATGTGGCTAAAACAACCACTTTAAAACACGTCAATGCATACATTGGTATAATGCTTCCTGCAGTAATGCTTCATTAGCACCGAGACTAGTAAAAGGCAGCTTCATCCAGCAGTTACAGCGGCAAATATCTTGAAGCAGTTCAGATGTTTATGGCACGGTTCGGCCTCGCTTAAGGAATCTGTTGGAGCGAAGCGGAACCCGCCCGGGCGGGGCGGGGCGGAATAGGGTTCGGCGGCATCAGAAATGCCAGGTTTTGATGTCTGCTCATGCCTTGAGCATATTGAAACAACTCCCATGTGACAAACAAATACATATTTCCATGGAGAGCAGTAATCTTAGGATTGAAGATTACGCAAGCAAACAACTAGGCAGGCGAGTGGCAGAAGTTAAGGCCTGGCTTCTGCTCCCGGCGCATCAGGGTTCAAATCCGCCTGCCGACCTCTCGGGATCTTTGAGAGGTGATGAAATGGGAGGTGGCCCCCCATCTTGTGGACGGTGTAGGACATGATAAAATCAATTTGCGAACTGACCAGGAACTAAGTTGACGCGCCGTTGATCCGCTAGATTTGGTTGGATGCCGGTGGTGAGTTGCCAAACTCAAAAGAGTACATTCTGAAGTCGGATGGGGTGAATGGATTAGGGTGCCCCTCTAGCAGGGGAGAGCAGGGAACTGCCTCGGGAAGGAGGCCACTAGTGAAGCTTAACCACCCTGTTACAACAACAACTTACTACCAGGGCCCCCCAAGGAGCCGCAAACACACGCCCTGCAGCAGCCACAATCACCCTCCCAACATCACGCAGATCCGCACACCCAACATATGCCTGCCCACAGCTTTGCATATCCTCGCGACCCCGACCGGAGAGGAACCCTCCCCCATAACAGGCAATCGTGAGACGGACGTACACAAGCGATGGAAACACGCACATATCTGCGTTTCATTAATGAAATATATCAAGGAACTAATTAATGCAACATCAAAATCCGCGTATGTGAACGCAGGCACACATATGCATGGATGCGCAGGTAATAAAACAGTAGTGCCAACTGCTGAAGCGCCTGCTGGCCTGTATGACCTACTCCCTACCGGCCAACAGGGCCCTGAAGCTCTTAACTTGCAACACTCGGCCACATTCTCGCTTTGCCGCCTGTTTACTTGCGAAGTATACCTACCTTGTACGCTACCTACCTAATCTTACCATCGCTACCAGGCTCTACCGGGCTGTCCGCCTGGCATGCCTAAATATATAATTGTGTAATGTAAGGGGATATGGATCCACCCAGCCTGGCAATCCCGTCTGTATGTCCAATGAAGTAACAACCTAGGTCAGCGCGGATGAGGGCAGTGCTTGTCACGTGCGTACACAACCATCCTGCGGCTTTCCGCTCCCCGCTGTCGTACACGTCCGCACAGACTTGAGCCGCGACCGGCTTCCCGCCATGTGCTTAGGAATCGGTGTCCCTTGTGGCCCTGCTTAGCAATACAATGTATTTTGAGCCATGCGGTCAGTGAAGTTATGCATGCGAAAAGGAGCTTAGCCTCTACACCCGGTGAGGTTCGAACTCACGCAGCTTTCGCTATGGGAAAGCCCATTCTCAAAGCTTGAGACCCACCCGTTAGACCACTCCGGCACAGGTGCAATCCGAGATCTGCTCGGAAACCCGAGGATGCCCGCGCCCGCACATCACCTGCAGATATCTGTCAACCTGCACACGTGCCGTTGTACAACCTTCATCCGAACGTATACGTGTGCTCCTGTGTCCGTGGCCGAAAGCTGAAACGGCGGGGTGTAATGGGCCCGAGTGTGTGCCCGGATCTCTAGGACACATAGACAGCACTAGATCCCGCTTTGCGCAGGCAAGCGGTCCCACGGCTGCTACACGTATATGTATGTATGCCCTTTCGACAACTCCTAAGTCCTGCAACAACACTCAAACCATCATCCGGCCATCAGAACCCCCTTGACCTCACCCCCTTTCGAGCCAACTTTCGAGCCGCCCATCCAACCATCCATCCCCCCATCCATCCATCCATCCATTCACCCATCCATCCGTCCATCCATTCACCCATCCATCCGTCCATCCATCCATCCATTTCCTTCCTTCCCTTCCTTACAGGTAGAGCCCCAGCACCCTCGTGACCTGCTCCCCATCCAGCGGTCCGTCCACATCCCCCGCCCATTCGTACGTGTGCATGGCGCCCTTGCCCTTCACATCCGTCATGCCCAGGTCACGCCATGCCTCATTAGGCAACAGCGACTGGGTGGCGGAGCTGACGTGGATACGGCCCGGGGAGCAAGTGCTCTCCATGCGGCTGGCCACGTTCTGAACGTACGACGGACGGAGGAGGAGAAGAGAGCGGGGGAAAGAGGGTTTCAGCGCTGACGTGTGCGGGTCCCACTGTACCAAGCCATGTTCAGGTCATGTGACGGCCCTCCCCTTGCTCCTTTCCCTCGCTCCTTCCCCACCCTCTCCCCTCCCTCTCCCCTCCCTCTCCCCTCCCTCTCCCCTCCCTCTCCCCTCCCTCTCCCCTCCCTCTCCCCTCCCTCTCCCCTCCCTCTCCCCTCCCTCTCCCCTCCCTCTCCCCTCCCTCTCCCCTCCCTCTCCTC